CACACACACACACACACACACACACACACACACTGTGACCACTACAATTTCCCTATGTATTTCTGGATGTTTATAAATGAACTGAATTGTGGTGGAAAGAGCCCAGTGGCCCTTAACCACTACAATAACTCCTTGTAATTTGCTGAAAGCAAGCGGTATTCATTTACTCCTTTTCTTGAAGTTCATAACAAAAGCAAACAGGTGGATTTTTGTTCAGAATCTTCAGATTAGTACATCTAAAGGCTTTGAAACTAGATAAATGCATAAATCAGACTAAAGTAAGCTTTTGCAGCAAAGGGGTGGGAAAAGAAGATGGCTTTGCACAAACTAAGGGTCCAGTCCATTTGTTTAAGGATTTTCAGAGAATTGTTAGTATGGTTAACAATACAAAAAAGAATTACTACTAGCATTGTGAGTTACTCTACTGTCTGAAGATGTACCGAAGTAACAAAGAGAATTTAGGAATAATTATTTAGTACCTCCCCTTCCCTTCCTCAAATTTAATTAGTAAATAGAGACATCCGGCTAACTGGTGCCAGTCCGGGTGTTGCTAGTTCTGAGAAACGTGCCCCTCCCCTAGCTTTCCAGGAGTAGCTGTTGTACTGTGTGGCAAATGATTAACTCTGTCACTTTGGATTTCGTATGCCTGCTTTTAAGTATGACAGACTTCAGTCTTGCAATGGAAAAAACACAAATGTCACCTCAAGGCTTAGGGTGCAGCGGGTTTAATGGTCCACACTAAAACAGGCAGTACAGTTTTGTAGTTCAACATTAAAAGCAACCTCGCCTTACTTCTAATGCTTCTACCTAAGAATGCTTCCTGCTCCCTCTCAGCCCTTCCCTTAGGTACGAGTCTACACAAGTACTTCTAAAGTGCATTTCTCTGGCGTTAAAAACAGCAGTGTAATTTGCTCTCCAACAGCGAGTCCTGAATCGGAGCACTGCTTCCTCGTTGGAGGGGCTGTGCAGTTCCAGGTGAGTGACCCACTCAGAGAAGTACCCTTCTCACTCCCCAGGTGGCACGAGGGGCCACTCTTGGGGGAAAAAAAGGATTATGCCAACTTCCTCTGTGGCAGGTATCTTCGCTTACCACAAGTACATATTCAGTGCCTCCTCGAGCCATGAAATATTGAAAACTTAACCGACACTTCAATTTCCAGGAAATTAAAATCGTGGAGGCCTCGTGTGAATACTCAGAAGTTGGTGGGATTAGAACCAGGTACTGGGGCGGGCCGCAATTCTCGGGCTAGGGTAGGGAGGAGTGGTGGGGAGAAAGACAGTCCCGCCGCGCTGTGGCTATTGCTTGTCGTCGTGGGGGTCACCAGGGAAGCCCGCCTCCTCAGGGGACCTGACTCCTTCGGGGAGCAGAGTGGCGCGCGCTTTCCTCTTCTCCTTAAAGCGGCCGGAGCGCGAGATCTTCAAATTGCGGCGGCTGCTGCCTGACTTCTCCCCGCACAACTTGTCCGGCTTGTGGGGCTCGCCGGCGCCCCCAAGGAGATTGGGGTGCTGATTCTCCCGGGAGCTGCCAGTCCAGTCGGCGCTGGGTGGCGGGGGCGGCGCGGGCTCCCCGGGGGCAGGCTGGGCGGGAGGCTGCGCCCCTACCGCGGCTTCCTTGCTTTTCTTTCTGCTGTTGGTTAGCGATTTCCACCAGGACCCAGAGCTGCCCGTGCCGCCGCTGTCGGCCATGGCCGGGCGGCGCGGGGCGCGGCAGGTGGGGAAGGGCCCTCTTTCCCGGTGGGGCTGGCGGTCCGCGGCAGGAAAGCAGGCTACGGGGTGGGAGCCTAGGCGGCGGCCTGTACCCGGGAAGCAAACAGAACGTGGTTATGGGTTTGTCCAAGTCACGTGCCCCCAACCCCACTTCCTCCCCTCGCTCCGCCCGTCACCGGATCGGCCCGGGTCCGAGCACCCGCAGGCCGGGAGCTAGGCGGCCCTCCGAGGGCACCGCCGCGTCCCCGGGGGCGCGGGCGGACGAGTGATGGCCTCCAGGGCGCCACCATCTGGTCTCCAGACACCTTGGCTCTCCCACGCCTCAACCCTCGCCTGGCCTCCAGGGCCGGTGCGGTGGTCTGCGCGGGGGCCGCCGGGGGAGGTTCCCGGGCATGCGGATGAAGCCGGCCCCGGAGGAAGCTGGCCTGGCCTGTTACCCTGATTGTAGAGGGACGCCCCAAAGTGACCCAGCTCGGCCCCGCGGGGCCTCCTCTTGGATGAGCACCTGAGCGGAGGGCGCTCGGAAGGGGGTGTGCTATGGGTGAGCACTGAATATTAGACTCCTGTCAACAGTTCCGAAATTTCCCTTGAAGATGTTTTTCCATAGACTTCTGTCCCAGAATGCTCTTCGATGTGATTTTCTGGGGGGAATTTACATGCCGATAAGAGCGAGGGAAAAGCTCAGGATGTGTTGTTTCTTTTAAATTCTGCTTTTGACAGAACTTCTGCCTTGCCGCTTTCAGAGAAACTGGTCTAGACTTAATTTCCCTTGAAAACCGCGGTCCCACTCTTCCTTTTATTCCCCAGACACCAATCTTACGTCTGTTCGAAGCCACCCCAGCCGATGGTTGAGATGAGGCCAAGCGGCAAACGTCCTCTTCTTTTTAGTTCTGTATCAACATATGCACCGACTTTGTACCAGGCAGCGCAACTCTTGAGATTTTTAGTTACAAATTAAAGGCGTCTGTTCTTTTTTGCGCAATTCCTTCCTCCAAAGGAGAGAAACCTGCTGCGCGCAATCAGGAACTCCAAACCCATCTGCTTCTCCCCAGCTTTTAAAGCAGCGCTCTGCGGCCCGAAGAGACTGTTTATTAGCACTTAAGGTGCTAATATGGGGAGCGAGACACCTGTGCGCGCCTTCCGCGCTCGGCACTAACTGTACGAACGCGCAGGGTTCGCTTGCGCCCGGGAGCATTTCCAGGTTTCCTCTGGGCTCCGTCCCAGCCCACGCGCCTGGTGCTGGCGGGAGTTGCCGGCGCGCCGGGGAGCAAAACTTGAGCGGTGTTTGTTGTTGGAAAAGTTCTGCTCTCGAAAGCGCCGGGAAAGTTTGAGCGCCTACGCGAGGCGGCGCAGCGGCCTCCGCAGCAGAGACCCGGGCCCCGGCTCCTCCCCAGGATGCCCCGAGGGCACACTCGGGCCACGACTTGAAAACAATAGAAGATGAAGCCGCCAAAAGTTCTTCCCCTAAAAAGGCACCCTCTCCCCAGGGCACGGTTTGCAGTTGGGTCTGCAAACCTCCTGCTCCCTGTATTTTACGGATCAGCGAAGCACCCCAAGTTATTCATGGGTGGTGGGGTGTGCCGATGGCTGCCTTCTGTCTTCTACCCTACATTCTCTTTTCCACAACCGACGTGTGCGCGGAAAGGCTCAGCACTAATTGCGCAAGGAAAACACTGCAAATTACGCAAATTTACGCAGAGCGCCTGTGGCTCGAAACCTCTCCGGAGCCGGGGTAGCACCCCAGGTTGACACCTTGGAATGAGCTCTGTCTTGGCGGATGCAAAACCACCCTGATTGCTCACCTGTTCGGGCTTCTGAAGATCCCAAGACTCTGAGCCGACCTCACCTCCAAGAGAACGGAGGAGGTGCGCTTGGGACAACCTGGGGAGGTCGGGCTTTTTTTCTGGAAGGTGTGCCTGCCGAAATGTCTGCAGTCCAGCTAAGCCGATTGCTGCTGCTCGTCTCCCCTGGCGCTTCCAACTTCTGTTCGGCGCAGCGGTGGCGGCAGTTCTGGGCTCGCAGCGCGCTCGGCTCCGGCGTGAGGGCCCCGCGGCGGAACAGGTGCCAGGCTCACTGCCCCAGGTGAATACCCAGATAGGCTCTCCCGGTTAGTAGCCTTTCATTCTCGCGCGCCTCCCTCTTCCCTGCTAGCGACTCCCCGGCAGCCGCGGGAGATGGGACCTCGGCTGCTCACTCTGGTGTACTGAACCTTCCTACACTTCGGTCCTTTGCACGGGAAAGACATCTGTCTGCCCACCTGCTGGTCATTCGCCAAGTATTCGAGAAACCAGAACGCCCGGGAAGGGGGCGGGGGGGAACACCAACCCAGGAGGCGGCCACAGCTGCCGCAGGTGCAGGTAGGAACTTTGCGTTCCCGCCCTCCAGGGCAGGAGATTGGATCAGGTCACGTACGTGGCGCCGGCCTTGGGGTGTCTGATTGGAGAAAGGCTGAGCTGCGCCTCACGCCGGCCGGACTCCTTCTGGAAGAAGAAGAAACAGTAGAGGAGACCCTGGCCAGGAGACCGAGGCTGTAGGTGGGATCCGCAGGGTAAATGTTGCCGCAGCTTTTCCTCTGCCCCTGCTCTTGATTTCTTTTTTCTCTTTCTCTCCGGGTCCCCAGCCATGGCCACTCAATTCCCAGGGGTCCAGTTTTGTAATTCACAGGAACTGTTTCATATCCAGGCAAAATGTTGCAGAGTTGCAGGCACCCTTAGTTGAAAGGCGTAATATTAACAAGTTGTCTGTGTGCCTGCCAGGCGCGGTTTCCAGCGCTCTCTGGGGGTAACACATTTACTCCTTACAGGAACCCAAGTATGTAGGTGCTGTTGTTTCCTCATTTGACAGGCGAGGAGACCCTCACTGAAAGGTAAATGGTTGCTCAAAGTTGCATGCCTGGTAAGTTGCAAAGCCGGATTTGAACCCAGGAGGTCTGACTCCAGTTCCCAGGGTCTTAACTAGCACGTGAGACCGCAGCCTGCCAGTCTTGGGCCCTTAAGGGACTTAGTGAAGATGTGAATTTCCTTCCCTTAAGTTTGGAGGTCCAGTGGACAGGCATTCCACCTGGGGAGTACCAGTGCAGCCCTGAGCCACTAGAGGATGTGAACCAGTGGATTTCGGCCAGGTTCAGGCTTGTGCTCCTGGGAACATATGCGTGCTTTTTATTGGTTGGGTAGAAAGGAGTTGCCATAGGCCATTTTCACTAATGAAAGCAGAATTCCAACCTGCTTCATCTTGCAGGATGCTCTTCTTTTTCAAAGAACTATTTTGATGTTCCTTGATGTCATGAATAACTCTACGGAAGGAGTGGGCATAGAGCAACTGACATCTGAGCATCACTGTTCTAGGACTTTTTTTTTTTTAATGTTTGCTATTTTTGACTAAATAAAAGAGAGAGAGAGAAACATAGTGGGGAGAGGAACCGAAAGCATGAGGGGCAGAGAGAGGGGAGACACAGATCTGAATCCGCCAGGAAAGGCTCCTGAGCGGTTAGCAACACAGAGCCCAACATGGGGAAGCCTCCAAACCACAAACTGTGGGATCAGGCCTAGACGGCAAGTCAGAGCCAACAGACAGCTAACCTGACTGATTTCTGAGCCACCAGAGCCTGGGCCTATTTAAGAAAGACATGATGCCTGTCTCAGCTTAAAATGTAGAATTAGTGGAAAGAATTTTTTAAAGTGTGGGAGCACCTGGAAAAGAGTGTTTCATGCATGAAATATAAAATGAATATTTTATATCATTAATTTCTTAATTTAGCATTCGTGGATGTTTAAATGATATGCACAACTGTGTATTTGAAAGTGGTGTAATTTATGTTTGTCTCTGTTTTTCACCGATTCTGCTAATATGTGTCTTCTGCCCCTCCCCTTGTTCAATGTCTCTCTGTCCCAAAAATAAATAAACGTTGAAAAAAAATTAAAAAAAAAAAAAAAAAAAAGGCCTTATTGGTGGCCTCAGTTCATAGTCGACTTCAGCCAGATCACATTCACCCCAGTCCGTGGTCATAATCCCTGGTGAGCCCAGAGTCTGCCACTCAGGCTCTGGGCTGATGGTAACAGAGCCTGAGCCTATTTCCATTCTGTGTCTTCCTCTTTCTCTGACCCTCCCCGTTCGTGCTCGTTTCTCTGTCCCAAAAATAAATAAACGTTGAAAAAAAAAATTTTAAAAAAAGAAAGTGGTGTAATTTCACTTATTCGTTGCGATTAGTTTTAGAGAGTAAACTTTGAATTAGCGCACCAGGACTGGAACAAAGACAGGCCACCCCCTGGGAGGCGAGGACAGGACAAGTCCTCATAGTGCCATTCCATCACAGATGAAGACACTGGATCAAGGAGGAAGGCTTAAACCATAGATACTTTCACAGCCTCTGGTAATTAGGAGTACCCATCCAGTTCTGACTTATGGGGCCATAAGGAAGATGTCTGGGAATGTTTCCTCCCTGGATAAAGGACAGAGCTTTCTTTTTTTTATTAAAAAAAATTTTTTTTTCAATGTTTTTATTTATTTTTGGGACAGAGAGAGACAGAGCATGAACGGGGGAGGGGCAGAGAGAGAGGGAGACACAGAATCGGAAACAGGCTCCAGGCTCCGAGCCATCAGCCCAGAGCCTGACGCGGGGCTCGAACTCACGGACCGCGAGATCGTGACCTAGCTGAAGTCGGACGCTTAACTGACTGCGCCACCCAGGCGCCCCAGGACAGAGCTTTCTGAGAGAAGAAAATCTTTTGCTGTACCCTTGATTTTTACATTTAAGCACAGCATGAGGATATGATGTCTGGTGTTGCAGCAGCCATATTGTAGCAGTGAGTCAACAGGCATGGGAATAAAAACCAACATGCTAAGGATGATGGCATGGGAGTGTGAAAAGTGTCTGGGTCTTGATGATATTGATGAGCCCCTGAAAGAACCCTGGAACCATCTGCCTCCAGACTACTAGTTGAGTGAGATAATATATATTCCTATGATTTCATCACAGATTT